AGAGACCTTCATGCCCAGATCTTGTGGCTAACTTCCCAATGATTATCCAAATATTGGGCTAAAAAATCTCAGTGCTCCCCTTCAGTGAGCGATATTATAATACTTTTCAAAAGGTACTCAGTGAGTTCAGTTTGCTTATTAGGATTTATATGCTTCTAGAAGGAAAGGACTTTCTCTATTACGTTTTTTCTCTATAATTCCTAGCTTTATACTAGGTTGTTGAATCCTGTTCAAAGATGAGAGGTGCATAGGATTTTAAAAACAAAACTCTCCAAGGACTTATAGAATCTCAACTTACATAGCTGGATGTGACACCCCATTACAGTCTTTTTGGTGGTCAGAACAACCTGAAAATATTAAAAACAAACAAATAAACAAAAAACTTTAAAAAGCTCAAAACCCCACGCCGAATCCCCAAACTCCAAGTCCTCCCTTTCTCACCTGAGGAAGGAATGCATTGGTGTCAAGTGTCGTGATAGGCGTTGTACTGTCTAGGTCTATAACCTATTTGTTCGGGGTCATTTTTGGTTTTCAGTCTTCATATGCAGGTGTGTCAGCAAAGACTACTTTATAGTTTTGCTGCTTCTGTGGAGTTTGGCTGAGCATGAATCAGTCAGATCACTGGGTACTGGGTAGATAAGAGATTCAGCCCAGGGATCTATTTGTCTTATTGTGAGGTGCTTTCATTGACTTACAACCGTCTTCACCCCTGAGCTCCTCCAATCCCACCTCCTCACCATGGCAGCACTGATCTTCTGCTCACAACCTTGCAAGGCTTCCCATTGCTGTTAGAATGAGGCCCTAAACCTCCACCACAACCTACAAAGCATTGCGTGATCCAGCTCTGCTTCCTCCCAGACACCTCAAACTGCAGGAAGCTCCAGTCACCTGGCGTTCTTTCAATTCCTCCGCGCCCCAGCCTGAGTGCTCTCCCACACGGTGCCCGCCTCTGTTTCCCTGCTGCCCACCCCCAGTCCTCAGCTTCCCTCCTCAGCTGGGTCATGCTTCCCCCTTACTTGCCTCTCTGCCTGCTCAGTTCTCACCCGCTTTGCTTCATGTCCTCCCTCTGCTCTAGCCAGCCTCTGGCGTCCTGCAGCACCCTGAGCTTCTTCCTGTATACATGTGACTGAGTCACAAGATTGATGACACTGATGCATAAATGTATTGTAGTTAAAGCTGGATTCAGATCCTGGTTTCAGCAGCAGCTGAGAATTCACATGACTACTCTGAGCCTCAGCTTTTTCATCTGTAAGCCGGTGCTAAGAATATTGACTTTAGGAATACAGTCATATTCTGGAGATATTACAGGTTTCGTTCTAGAGGGTTGCTGGGAGAGTTTGCTTAGAATCTGGACATGCAGACCACAGTAGGCGCTCAATAAATGTTCATAGGAAATTTGGTGCATATTTAGAACTCCACTGTCTAATGAGATCATACATGTACATGGATACATGTGTGTATATATGTATATATATGGATATGTGTGTATATATGTATACATATATACACACACATGTATCCATGTACTATATATATATATATATATATATATATATATATATATATATATATAGGCTTTGAAACAAAAAGATTTGGGTTCAACAGCTGGTGCCACCACTTATTAGCCAACTGGTGTCAGAAAATCCTTTCAGCTTCTCTAAACCTCAAAGTACACATCTATGAAGACTGCAATAACTTTAATAGCTTCCAGGGTTGCTATGAGGATCAAATGAGTTAATATATGAAAATGTTTTCTAAACTTTGGATTAAAATAAAATTGTAATCTAATTTCTTGTAATTGTACATTAATCTCTCAATGTTCTTTTCAGTTAAGCTTTGCCTTTAATGCAGGACTCAAAGTCCCCTTGGCTAGACCCATGATGGCATTTAACATGGGCCTTAGCACAGAGATGACATGCAATAAGTATTTGCTGAAAATCAAACCCACAATGAGATGTCTCCTCACACCTGTTAGAATGGCTATTATAAAAAAGACAAGAGATAATAAGTATTGGTGAGGATGTGAAGAAAAGGGAACCCTTGTATTTTTGGGAATGTAATTGGGGCAGCCACTAAGGAAAACAGTATGAAAATTCCTCAAAAACTGGGTATATGAGTATATACAAAGGAAATAAAATCAACATCTCATAGAGATATCTGCACCCCCATGTTCATTGCAGCTTTATTTATAATAGCCCAAGACATGGATACAACCTAAGTGTCTACTGACACGAATGGATACAGAAAATGTGGATATATAATATGATATTAGAATGGAATATTATTTGGCCATAAAAAGGAAATCCTGCCTTTTGCAACAACATGGATGGAACTTGAGGGCATTATGCTAAATGAAATAAGTCACACAGAGGAAGACAAATACTATATGATCTCACTTACATGTGGGGGCAAAGAAAGCCAAACTCATAGAAATAGAGAGTAGAATGGTGGTTACCAGGTGCTGGAGGTCAGGGAAAATGCGGAGACGTTGGTCAAAGTGTGCAAAGATAAGTTCTGGGGAGCTAATGTACAACATGTGGACTATAGTTAAAAATACTGTATTATGTACTTGAAAGTTGTTAAGGGGAGGTGGAGGTGTTAACTAACCTTATTGTGGTCATCATTTTGCAATATGTGTGTGTATCAAATCATCATGTTGTACACCTTAAACTTACATATATTATATATCAATATCTCAATAAAGCTGGAAAAAAAGGATTTACTGATGTTGTGAACAATGGACATGGAAGGACTTGCTGCCCAGTTGCAGGGGTTGGTCATCAGCTCCTCTAACTCTCAGCTTCCTCAGAGTTGGCCTCCGGTGCATCCTATCAGACCTCACACCTTCCCAGAGGCAGCTTTCTTCTGGTGACTGAGTCAGGCAGAGTATAAAGGTCTAGCCATTTTAACAAGACTGTTTTACCTCTCAGAGCTCCAGGTGGGGAGGGCTGAGGCTGTTAGACCCATGGAGCTACTCTGTCTCCCCCACCCCTCCTTTCCACAGGTGTCAATCTCAGAGGGCTTCCTAAGGGCACACTGAAAAATAATTCCTTTCAGAATCTGAATCTCGGTGAACCCAACCTGTGACATGTGGTGTCCAATAGATTTCACCCATGGAAGCCTTCATAGACATGACTGCATGTGTTTCCTCCATGCATTTGAATGTTGTCATTCCTTAAGCAACAAAACAAAATAAAATCATGGGGTTTGTTTCATGGCTGCTCTGCGTTTTCACTAAGAAAGGAGTATCCATCATGTGGAATTCAGAGGCTCATGGAATGCGTATTGTATGTGTTAAGCGTTGTTATTAGGATGCTATTTAGGAGACAGAAAGTTTCCAATGACAGGGACAGTTGAAGAGCTTAGTTTATATTCTCTTAGCTCTATTGATCTTGATTAAATTATTTCCTGCAAGAAACAGAAAATTCCCACCCCACTTAGGCTGATTTCAGAATAGAAAAATAATTGAAATCTTTCCCCAATTTATTTAACAAAGCAAAGGTAACCTAAACACCAAAATTTGATAAACACAATACCAAGACCAAGAACACTGCAAATTAAACCCAGCAGCATTTAGAAAGAATAATCCTGATGACGACCAGGGCTCTTTGGAGAGGCAACATTGTGCTAGGAAATTGCTTGGGCTCTTAGTCAAGCTGCCAGTGTTTAAGTCACAACCGTGCTTCTTTCAAGCGTTGAGACCTTGGGTTTGCTACAAAATCTCTCCAAGCATCAGTTTCTTCCTTTGTGAAATGGCAATGATGAAAGGACCCACTTCTTAGGGCTTCTGTAAAGATTTAGAAGATAATTCATGTACAACACATGCAACAGCATCTGTACACAGGGCTTAGAGAGGTGTGCCAACTGACCAGCGTCAAAGACAGCTGTGCCATGTAGTCTGGACAATTAATTATCTTTAACAGAAGTCTCCACTTTTACCACTTTATTGGAAAACCAGGATCTTTTTCAGAGCCCTCTTTGATATGGAATATGAGGAAAAAATAAGGAATGCTTGAGTCTTTGTATGTTTTCTGTCAGCCATTCCTTTGCACATACATAGCCCTGTTCTCAACATAAGAAATCTCTTCACAGCATCCCATCTGTAGCTCTCAGCATGGTACTAAAACACCAGTGACATTGGGCTTCCCAGACTGCAGCCTCGTATGCTTACATTTGTTGGAAAGGTTGTCCCATCCTGTGCAAAGCCGCAAACACATCTCTGGTAGTAGAGCAGCCTCGTGCATTTCTGCCCCCGGCTTGCCCTGGCAGTCACTTGGGCATCTATCTCTGGTGTTGTGTGATAAAGATCCTAAGGGGGGCCCCAGGTCAGTGTTTCAGGTACCAGAGAAATGGGAGGTCCAAAAAATATTGCCAAAAGTCATGATAGCTGGCCAGAAGAAAGTCTCTTTTCCCTTTTTTCTCTAGTAACAAAAGCATGTTGGTAGTGTTAGACCTGGCATGGCTGACGGAGTTCTTGTGGAGGAGTTAGGCTTGGGCCAGCAAGGGGTGTGCATCAGGGTCACAGATGATAGTTCCAGGCTGTGGTTTCCCAGAGAGCAGTCGGCAGGGGGACCATTGACCCAGGGTCCTAGAGAGAAGGGCTGACAGAGACAAGAATGGGAGAACCTGAGCTGTCATATGATCTGTCAGCATTTTAATCAGCGCATAAAAGGAAAAGAAAAGAAGCAAAATAAAAAAGAGTGACCAGCTGGAAAACGCATTTGAACGCACTTTTGGGGAAGGGTTTTCCGCAAACAGAAGAACCTTGTTCTAAGCAGGTGTCATCAGTAGCTCCTAAGGCCAGCAGCCAGGCTAGGAAAGGGAGGGTCATGATTTACGGCTCTGACCGCTAGGTGGTGCTTCAGGCCAGCAGCTGGATAAAGGGCCTGTCGTGGGAGAGATGGGGCAGACTCTAGGTCCCCAGAGAGCGGCGACAGGGAGGCGGGGCTGCGAGGCTGTGTAAAGACAAGGGAGCAGCGACCAGACGCAAGGCGCCTTTGCGCTCGGTTTGAAGTGTCCCATCCTAGGGTGATGGCATTTAGCTCTTGGCAGCGGTCGCACCCCGTGGATGCCAGGTGTCCAGGCTGAGCCAGCGTCCCGAGCTAGCGGCCCACGGGCTGCTGTGCAAGAGAAGAGGCGTGGGGGAGAGCACTGGTAAATAGCCATGCTTTCTATTTACTTAAAATCACCTTGAAAGGAACGCAAAAGTATGCCTAATCAACATGGAAGAGAGCTAGTTGAATATTTAAACAGCTTGATCTGATGTTTAATGTAATATAATTGGTCACTATCTCTGAGATAGAACTAGACAAAATAACAAATGATTACATTTCAGTAAAAACTTATTGTTGATGATGAGAATGATGACATAAATTCTAACCCTCTCCCTAGATTTGCTGAGTTTGGATGGCAAAAGAATTTTGTAATATAAATCATGGGAGAGAAATTGGGCAACAAAGGAGTGATCTTGCTCTAATTCTTGGTAAATTGAAATCTCTTGTTTCTTTGTACTATGCTTATGTGGAACTTATAAAACTATTCATTAATCATATTTTATGGAATTACAAATGCAGAAGTCAGGGAAAATATTTATTGAGAGAAAAACAGCATTCTTTTAACATGTATTTGCAACTAAATTTATAAATTGAAGACAGTAACTTTTTATTTGTGATTATGTTCAGGTTAATGGATCACCTTGGTTACAATCTTAATTACAACTGTAGAGACTGAATCCTAGTGGATTTTAGAAGTGTCAGGACAAATGTTAAGAAGACACCTATCTGTCTCTCTTAAGAGAATGTGGGTCTGTGTAGCCTTCAGAAATCTATGCTCACTTGAGGAAAATGCAGAGCAGTAGCTTTAGGAACGTGGAAATCAGTAGACTGGAAGAGATTTTGTAGGTTGTGAGTTGAGGACACTTTTGAGAGTGAACTTAGTTGCCAGGACAAGCATAAAAAGTGAAACTATCTCAGGCACACTGAGATGTATTAAGAAGTCTGTGAAAGAATTGGAGCCTAAAGCAGGGAGGACCAGGAGGCTGGTGAAAATTCTAAGCCTGCATGTGGGGGGATGGGGAGAGGGGGCGCTATTCCAGGAATCCGGATATGAGGCAGCAGGTATTATATCCTAATGCATAGAATTCTAATACTGAGCAAATGTGCTGAGTCCTTTTACCCCCATTCTCAGGTTATGCTTGCTTCTGGCATGCTATTGTGCTTCTTTGATAGATTGTTAACTTCTCTGGATCATGAATTAAAACCTGATTTGCAGTAAATTTGCTGCCAAGAAGAGGAGCAATGAATTCCTCATTTCATCTGTATTTCTTGGATTTCAACCTGAATGCCACAGAGGGCAACCTTTCGGAACCAAATGTCAAGAACAAGTCTTCATCATGTGAAGAAATGGGCATCGCTGTGGAGGTATTTCTGACTCTGGGTCTCATCAGCCTCTTGGAGAACATCTTGGTCATAAGTGCCATAGTAAAAAACAAGAACTTGCACTCTCCCATGTATTTCTTTGTGTGCAGTTTAGCAGTAGCTGACATGCTGGTGAGCATGTCCAATGTCTGGGAGACCATTACCATATACTTAATAAATAATAAGCACCTGGTTATAGCAGATGCCTTTGTGCATCACATTGACAATGTGTTTGACTCCATGATTTGCATTTCTGTGGTGGCTTCCATGTGCAGTTTGCTGGCCATTGCGGTGGATAGGTATGTCACTGTCTTCTATGCCCTACGCTACCACCACATCATGACAGTGAAGCGTTCTGTAGTGATTATTGCATGCATCTGGACCTTTTGCACAGGCTGCGGCATTGTTTTCATCGTTTACTATGAATCCATTTATGTCATCATTTGCCTCATCTCCATGTTCTTTACCATGTTGTTCCTCATGGTGTCTCTGTATATACACATGTTCCTCCTGGCACAGACTCATGTCAAGCGAATAGCAGCTCTTCCTGGATACAGTTCTGTGTGGCAAAGGACCAGCGTGAAAGGCGCCATCACCCTGACCTTGCTGTTGGGCATTTTCATCGTGTGCTGGGCTCCTTTTTTCCTCCATCTCATTTTGATGATCTCTTGCCCTCAGAACCTCTACTGTTCTTGTTTTATGTCTCACTTCAATATGTACCTCATACTCATAATGTGTAATTCTGTGATTGATCCTCTGATATATGCCTTCCGCAGTCAAGAGATGCGGAAGACCTTTAAAGAGATTATTTGTTGCCATAGCTTTAGAATACCCTGTAGGTTCCCTAGCAGGTATTAAACTAAAATATTCCCTGCAGTTTTCTTTTCTACTTCCTTTACCTTTTGATGAAGTCAGGTACAGCCAACGGGTAAGCGAGATAACTCAAAATAAAAAACTGGGTATTCCCTTTATCTTTTTTCCGTCTCGAATTTGTACTTAAGATGCGTTCTTTCTTTCCTTCCTTTTTTTTTTTCCCCTGTGGTGGTTGTTGGGTCAGCTGTGCATATGCCACTTATCTATTGTGAGAATGGTCTGTGACAATTTCTTATTGTCCTGTTTTTTTCTTACTTTTTCTTCTGCCCCCACCCATTTATGGGGCCCCCATCCATCTTCCATCTAGTAAGTGTGTGCTCAGGGAAGGTAAAACATCCTGGGTGCAGGCATACGCATGATGAAGAGCTGACTGTAATGGAAAGAAAACTTGTGAATATCTATATCATGGGTGGTTGCTTTTTCTCCCTAGAAGCAGTTCTGTAACTTCAATTGATGTTATTGGGACTCATGCATGCTTTTGGGGCAGAATAGAGTGGTCAAATTCTTTCCATTTGAAATTTCCTGTTCATTTGTCATGGGATGTCTCTACAGCTCTCTTTTCCTAAACTTTTGGTTTTATGGCTTGTGTCCATAATTGTCCAAGGATAGAATTATACTTCTGTCAATCATGCTTTTTTACTTGTCTCAATATAAAACTTCCTGCTACAAACCTTGCCTCGTGTAGTGTGAAAGTTTCCGTAACTCTTTTACTGTCTTATTCTAACTCAGTCCAGGGTTTCCAAATGAGTGTTGCGGGGACATGTTGTGGGCTCCCCCACGTCCCTTCCCCACTGTAGCACATGCCCATAGGAAAGTTATTTTTTACCTTCTTAGACTGGGTCTGTCTTTGAGTCTGAAATCCTGTCACGGTGTACTCTGCACATCACAATCTGACTCCAGCAGCCAGAGAAAGGCAGGTGCCCATCTCTAATCCAGGGAGTCCGTCTTCTCCAATGTAGAATGGAGCTCAGGTCCTGACTCTGCCATTAACAGGTGATGTCACTTTAATCATTTTATTTCAGGTTCCAAGAATGTCTCTTGGTCTCAGTGTTCTTATCTGAAGTGAAGGGGTTGGTCCTTATAGCTCTTGCATTCCATCCTATTATTTTTGGTGTTAATGATTTTTGTTTTGTTTATTCACATCTGGACTGTTTCCAATGAAGGAAAAGTGTAAATAAAGCAGTGGACCATGAGGAGCACTCAACTATGAGCTGTTGAAGCCTACTGGGGCAGAGGAACTTCCTGGGTGTCAGATACATAAATAACTTATAGACGTGACCCCCACCTCTGGCAGCTAACAGTCCAGGAAAAAAAAATGATGCTGGCACAAGCAGGAAAGCAATGAGACATGCAAATCTTTGGAAAATGGCAAATTAGTAGGTTGTGGGCAACTGAGTTTTGAAGGGGCAGCTAGCCCTTCAAATGTTTCCTGTTCCTTTTAGCAGAACACGCTGTGTGTATCCATGAATGAAAAGTAAGTGATCTCCATGTAATTATGATGGGAAACCACAGTCCATCTTTACATGGGATGTCTCAGGAAGCTAGGTTCTGTGAAAGCCAGCCTCTCTGCTGTCCTGCTCATGTCTGTGGCCCTGTTGCCTAAGTTTTTGGTACAGAGTATGCACTCAACTGATGTTTATTATTTGTTGCTAAACAAATGTGTACCTAATCTGCTGCTTATCAGCCTTGAGTGCTAAGTGAGGTCACTAGGGTTCCAATCCTATGAGAAATCAAACTTCAGCTCTTGTGGTTTGTATTGGCCCCATCTGTGAACTCATTCTCATTAGGCTCTCTGCTTTGTGTGCTTCATGACTTCGGACAATGTCTGACTTTTACTATAAAGGTTTTTAAGTAAATGCTCAAATGTCTTTTTATCTCTGTGTAAATAGTGCGGAAATAACCCAAGTATTCAGATGTGTCTTCATTTGGGTGGAATTCATGTATATAGTGATTCAGTAAATATCTGTAAATGAGCCAACCCTTGGGACTCCAATACAAAGTCCCCCAAACAAAAACAATCCATATAATTGTCAAAGACTGTATGATATTGTATATTAACTCTTTTTTGTTTCTGTAGGAGCTTTATTTGGTATAAAAATATGTGTTCAAAGAAATGGTTCATTAAATGAAAAGACCAGACCACCCCTTTGAAGTGGTCATTCTGATGTGTGATATTCAGTGTTTCTGATGTTTCTGCCAATTTGTCAGCAGCTGCTGCAAAATGAGAAGGTATATTTATTGGTGAATTATGATGAAGCTTTCCTGACATATTTATTGCTTGAACAATGGCCATTTCTCAGTTCAAAATAATTTAACTCCTAAAAATAAAATAAAATAAAATTGCACACTTGACACATATTGTCTTAAAGTCTGTCTCTTAGTAAACAAGTAGGTATTTTGGGGATATCACTGATCATGTACTCAGTATGGGGCTAGAAGCAGTGGCCATTAGAGACTCTCTGCCATCAAAGAGCTTATGGGACAAATTATTTCAAGACATGAATATTTTAAGATATGTGGAAACACTACCCACAATTCAAGATGCTACACATAATTAAATGTGAACTTATGAGACACAGCTTATATCTCTTGCAAAATGAAGGTTGTGATATCTCCCATGGCTACAACAGCAATTTTCACTGGTGAATGTGGGGTGCATATCAGAGTTTTGGGGTGAAGAAGTAACTTTGAAAAACTCCCCAGGTAGTCTACATCAGGTCCAGATGTGGCTCCTCTTGAGTTGGAGATCAATAAACTAAAAGGAAAACTTATCTGACACCTTTCCCATGCTAATAAATGATGGTAGAAGAGGGGACCACACAAGTACTCATATTCAAGCGCGGGAAGAGTAAGAAACCCAGCATTATGCTTACAGGGTTCAACAGCAACCTGTGGCTAGTGCTGCCATATCAGACAGTGCAGCGCTTGCCACTGGTAGTATATATCTACACTTATTTTCTAGGCTTGCTGTAGCTTTCTCCTTTTTACCCCCATGGCTTTTTCTTTCTCTCATCCTAATTATGTATGCTTTAAGTCTATCAGGCTTTGAGGGAGAGTCATGCTTTTAGTTTCTATTCCCTGAGCCATTTTGTCCAATAAAAAGGATTCACTGATCCTTTTGCTACACACTTTTTGGGTTTTACTCTGAGACAGCTTTCTTAATCTACTCAGAGGATTTGCAGTGATGGTGAAAGCTGCTTGATTTGATCCTAGTGCCAAATCTGAGTTTTAATTGGCCTATGTTATTCAACTTTAAAAATCTAATCTTTTACTAACTGGGTTGAGAAGAGCTGTCTCTTCTCATTCTGAAATCCTGACTCTAGATTTTCTAGAATTCTTTTCTTAATCTGGTTTCAAATGTATCAGTTAAAAAAAACAAAAATTATTTGTTTATTTATTTATTTATTTATTAAGTTGTGGTAAAATACACATAACATAAATTTACCATCTTAACAATCTTTTTGTTTACACTTCAGTGGTGTAAGAGCATTCACATTGCTGTTCTACCATGTTGACTCCTTTTTGTTCCTGGTTAATGTCTAAACTTCCTCCAGTCTCTTCCTGTGCTAACCTCCGCTTAAATGCTTCTCTGATAGTGTCATTTCTTCTGTTCAAAAATCTTTCATATCACCCAATGATTGCTGTATTAAGTACCTAATCCTCACCTTTACCTTTAATGATCTCCAAAATATTAGCCAACCTTCCAATCATCCTACACATCAATAAAATAAGACTACTCTGAACAAGATTTGTACTTTTCTGCCTCCAGATTTGTTTTAAGCTGTTCAATCAGCTGGGATCACCCTCTCTATCCACATGAGCCTTAAAGTGCATTTCAAATGCCTCTTCTTCCATGAGTCATTTTTTATCTCCATAGTTATACCTCACTATGGCACACATTCTTCCAGGTACTTCAGAGAACAGAGAGTTTCTATGTCCTTTACTAGAATGTAAGAATCTCTGTGGGAAGGAACTTGCATCAGTTAGGGTGATGCTACCCATTAGAACTTTCCACAATATTGGAAATGTTCTATATCTGCTTTGTCCACTATATTAGCCCCTATCTACATGTGGCAATTGAGCATTTAAAATGTGACTAGTGTGACTGAGGACATGGATTTTAAATTTACTTAATTTTAATTAATTTATATTTCCATTTAAATAACCACGTGTTACCAGTAACTGCCACATTGGACAACACACAGTATTTGGTTCGTTGCACATGACAGAAAACCTGCAAAAAATAGTGACTTACTCAAGATGAAAGTTTATTCCTCTTTTACAGAAAAGTAAAAAGTCTGAAGGTAAGCAATTCAAGACTAGCATGGAACTCAAGGGTGCCATAAAGAATCAAAGCTTATATCTATCTCGAGGTCAATTCATGGTCCAAGATGGCTGCTGAAGCTCAAGTCATCATATCCAAATTATAGGATGGAACAGAAGAAAGGATAATCAGGAATGTCACCTTTTTTTATTTGTTGAACGTCATTAGTTTTTCTTCAACTTTGGCAACTTGTCTTTTATTATTTCTTTGATTAATTTTTTCTTTTCCCATCTCTTTGTGTCTCTCCTTATAACTCCTATTAGTCAGATTTTAGATTGATTCTCTATGTCTCTTAATCTGTCTCTTTACATTTTCTTCCTCTATCTTTTTGTTATGCATTCTGAAAGACTTCACCTTTTTTTCACCTATGCTTTTGACTGAGTTTTTAATTTGACAATTATATTTTTAATTTCTATGACTTCTTATTTATCCTTTCATTGCCTTCTTCTCTTAGCAGACTGTTTTTGAATTCATGGATCCATATCTTGTTCAATCTTTCTAAAAGTGAATTTGTTTTTAAAAATTTTTATCCTCTTACTTGAATCATTTGTTTCCTCCAAAGTCAATGATTCTATTGATCTTACTCCTTTCCATTTTGTAGTGCTTATTTCCCTCAAATGCTAGGTACCCTAGATTTTCCATTCATACATATAAGTAAAGGAGTGAGTATGATTGATTTAGTACTTGGATAAGATTCCTTGATGCTCTCCTGATGAAAAAAGCCAATTGGTGGGTCTCTGTCAGAGGTTACTTGAAAGGTGTTTAGGTTGTGAACAGACTACTAGGCTGGGGACATCCCCAACCCCCTAAGCTAAAATGGAGAAATATTTACTCTGGTCCTCAGCTCTAGGAAGCCAGGTCCTCTTGGATACTTTGGGGGAGGGAAGGTGTTCGTTTACATGTACTATGAAGGCAGGCACTCGCAGAGGTACAGTATGTAGGCCATGCCACAGTTCTGCAGATAGTCCTTATATAGATCACCTTGATTTCTTTTCTTTCTTATATCCTGGCTTCCATTCCTGCTGACCTTGGTGGGATACATTCCAGGTTTCTCTCTCATGTATCTTGGGCTGTGGTGCTCCTTAATCTGTTTATCTATCAGTATGACCCCATCCACCTTCTATCTCCCAAAATTCATCACTAGTTTTAGTCCTCTGACAGGCTATTCTCAGCACTTTTATGAATTCATTACATTTTATACATATGTTTCTGTGGATTTTTGGGAAGAAGTAGAGGTACATACTTGAAGAATGAGGAATCAGTTTGAGCTACATTTTGGGGCTAGCTGGATCAATCTTCTGCACAAAGCAAAGCTGCAGGACATTGCCCAGAATCCAGATCTTGGTTCTAATCATGGTTCTACTTATTAGCACACAACCACACCCAGGACAAGTGTGTCCTGCACTTCTTTGCCAACGTAGAGGAGGTGCAGCAGTCTTATCTCACCTGGCACCTTGACCATTGTTCTATTATCTTGCTTCTTATTTTGACTCCTAACTAGAGAGAGCAAAGAAATTGGTTATTTAAACAAAGATCATAACCCAGGTGACAGGAGATAAGCAGAGTCCCTGAGGTGTCTGTTCACCTGTTTAGTGGGCCCTTTTAAAGTTAATGGTCAGGCTTTTCTTCTGACAGCAGGTGGAAGTAAACATATCTCAGAATTTTTGTTTGTCCTCCATCTAACCCTCTGACCAACCAGTTAATGAGTAGAAGTAGCTCCAGGTGAGAAATTTTCCCAAGATCTCATTGTTTGAAACCTGCTCCAAAAAATCTTGAGTACATATTGCAATATTCTAGGTATTTTAAAAGGATTATTTCATCTAATCCCCAACCACTTTAAAAAATAGTTAAATATTACCATTCTCAATTTACCCATGAGGAGACTGAAGCTTGGTGAGAGTAAGTTGTCTAAGGTTGTACACCTAATATGGAGTTGTCCCTCAAATCAAACTTAGGGGCTTCAAAAAATTGCTTCATTTCTTTGTTTTTGTAAGTTCTCAATACCATTGTTTTATTTGGCTTCCTGCTGTGCTCCGCATGGACCCAGCTTTGTCCCACAATCCTTCATGGGGACTCTGCATTCTTGCACCACGCTGCCCCCTGTGAGTGGGAACAGGGAAGGATAGGAGTGGTGTGGTGGGTAGCTGAGATTCCCTATAAGAGTGACTGGTAAGCACAGGTGCTGGAGGAAGACGTAAAAATTCTGCTCTAGACCCAGGGTTCTCTAGAAGCTATTATGGTCTCAGGCAGTTTGGTGTTTTACATCCAAAAGGGGCACCTCGTGGCCAGTTGTTTGGTATTACTCTGTTACGTGACATTGCCTATGAGCAGCAGCGTCTCCTCAGCAGGGCCATGTGGAAGAGTAGGGTGGGGCTTACTCCAACCCCTTTTTCTGGGGGTGCAGAGGCACAACTTCCCCAACCTCCAGCACATATGGATAACAAGAAGAAGGCTCTGCGTGAACCTCTGGGATCACTTCATCCCCCACCTACCCAGGGATGACAGCTGGAGCCACTGGTAGCACCTCTTTCTAAGTCCTTCCTTTATGGGCCTGGGTGAAACACGCCATACTGACTGCTAGGATCTCACCAAAATACTCTCCTCGTGTTCTTTTGGAGTTCCTGGAGTTTCCAAATTACTCTCACTTCTTTCAGGTAAGGCACTGTTTCCAAAGCCACACATTCATTCATTTATTCACCAAGCAATTACTGAGTGCCTGACACTGAGGACATAGTAGTGAATAAAATGCTGATTCTTCTCTAATAAAGGGCCTTGTAGTTCACTATTTGCATAAAACTGTAACAAAGAGTGAGATGGAATAGTCAAAGGCAAAGGGACAGGGCCAGCACGTGGGACACATCTGTCACAGTCTAGGCACCCACCTGCATGAACAGGGAGCTGGCTAGTCAGGAGTGGGGAGGGCTGGAATCTGGGCGAATAGGACAAAAAGGAGATGAAAAAGACAAATGTTTTATACTTGTTTATGGGCACCTTTCTTTCTTTC